AATTGTCATCGGTAGATAGGGAAAAGAGGCAGGAATTATATGATTGGGATCTAAAGGAAGCTAGTTCTTTTCTTACCTGTTTGGAATAATAATTGTACAGTTTCCGATCATCAGGATCCCTGGTTCTTTGCCAGATGGTCCTAGATTGGCGTTTGGATTTAATGAGGTCGGTAAGGATTTGAGGCAGAGGATTCTTTTTAAGGTATTTTTGGAGGGGATTGGTGAGGATGCAGTCCAGACTGCTTGTTGGATCAAGGTGGGAAAGGAACTCACTGCATTATCTAGGTCTTGAGGGGTTTTTAGGGATACTCTGAGGTCTATTGCATCTGTTATTGTTTGGCGGAAAAGGTTCCAGTTGACTGGGCCTCTGATGAATGAGGGAGGAGATAACCTGGGGATAGGAGATGCGGAAAGAGTTAGATTTTGCGGACTGAGATCTGAGGAAAGGTCATCGAGCCGTAGAACTGAGTAATTTAGCCGCCCGAGACCTTTGTGAATGAAGAAGTCGAGGATATCAGGATTACGGTTAGGATCGGTTGGCCAGTATGTAGGAGTATCAATTACATGTTGCTATGTTGGAATTGTGGGAATTAAGTGCAGACAGCAACGATCGCCCGCGGGAATTCGTGGTTCTGGCTCCCCATTCCTGATATTTGGCGTTAAGGTCTGCACCAATAAGGAAGTGGTGTCCTAGGGTTATAGCATAACACAGAATATTACATAAATTCTTAAATTTTACAAAATTCTTACAATTCGCAATTATAAAAACATGACGACAAAAGTTTTTAATTTAGTATTTTTTAAAATACCTTTTATAAAATTTTCCAAGATCACATACAATCTTATTTTTATTAATTTTCGATGTATTTCATGATAATTATTTCATGAAATGGAAAATTTCCATGATGGCCGCCATATATTTTTATGATTATATCCAATGAGTTCTGATGTATCTTGGGAAAAATTGTTTAATAAATAATCAATTTGTACTCTATATAATAAATGGAATATTAAGGTCATCATTTGTCATGCATTATACTTAAGTCCGTGATTATTTGCTCCTAAAAACCTGTCGGCTCCTAGTTTCCTCTCTCATTTTCCCTCACTTCGATTACGGCTGCCTTGTATACGGTGCACTATCCGCTGGGCTCGAGATCAAATTGAAGAGATTAATGAATTGTTTCATTTGATTCATCATTGGAGTCCCCCGGTGCTCCCACATTTCCAGGTGGAATTCCACATTCCACGCCGAGCTGAAATGACTCTATCCAGCTTCCTGACAGCAATATTTCCTAGATGTTTTCCCTTTCCGAACCTTTGCATCAAAAAATAACTTCTTATCTTCTTAATCTGTTTATTCTCTGCTCCTCTAGACGTTCTTTCAACACGAGATTCCAGGCCACAAAAATGCTTATTCCTTCTCATAGAACTGTTTACTTTAAAAAAAAATTTCTCACACGCGCTACCTTGTTTCGGAATTCCCTACCTACCTCAGTACGCAAATCCTCAACCAAATTTAAACACCATTTATTTATCCATCTCCACAGCAATCAATCTTCCGAATATATGTAGGAGTAATATTTTTATGTTTTTAGAGCTGTCACCTCATTTTACTGTCTTCTTACAGATACATATTGTTTCCCATTGCCTTTGTGTAAACACACTCTTATACCTCTACCTATACTTAAAATGTTAACTTGTGCCATTCTTTATTTTAATATAAATGCACAATAGTAATGTAATTTAACTAACAACAAAAAGATGATTAACTTGTATTCTAGACAATTGTCACTAAATTGTTCATTATAATTATTCTTAGAGGGCTTAATGCCCCAGAATAAAATGTACTTTTCATTCATTCATCATGATGGCAGATATATCGTCAATCCGAGGAAAACAGGTAAATGTGAATTTACTGCACATCACGGGTAAATTCAAACTTTCAACAGAGAAGAAAAATCAATCAAGAAATTAAATTTACACCATATTAAGATGTTTAATCAACAAGCACCAGCATGTGATAAACTAAGAAAATCAGATTAATTACAATGCTTTAAATTTAGATAAAAATAGATTAATAAAATAACCCTACCTCAAAGGTCCGTAATATATCATCTCTTAGATTTTGAAAAGGAACCTCTTTTTTTTATCGTAAATTAAGTTAACTATAAATATAAACTGGATTATTATTTTTAAAAACCATTCGTATCTTCAAATAATATCCATTCTGTTATATAGAAGGGAGTTTTTTTGAGTATTGATATCTACAACTCGGATTTTTAGGATTTGTCCTTTTTTGTTTACTCTTTAAGGCATAATTAAGTTCTCAACAGATCTATGCTGATCATCATGAGTAAATTTAAAATACAAAATCCTATAAGATTTATTTTGCACTAAAAGTGCTATTTTTTCCAATTTTTCACTGAAATAGAAAAATTCCAAAAACTAAAAATGTGTATTGTTTTTGTGTATTTTGTAATAAAATGGATCTTTTTTTTTTTCAATTTTGCCATAAAATATATTTTTTTTCTTTTGATATTTCGCACATAAACAAATTTATAAAAATGAGATCTTCGTGCAGAGTTTGATTTAAGTGAATATATTCACTAATTATAATGTATGCTTTTACGCTAAATTAAGTATATAGTTGTATCAACTTAATTCAATTTTTTAAAAAGAAAGTTTTTAATTCGATTTTTATTTCCGAAAATACTTAAGTTTCATAAATCTTTGGATTTTCATTAAAAAAATTGGTAGTAAAAATCTGTTCGTCCTTCCGCGGTTTTCTCCTATACTACCAGGCCGATTTACCTGTTATGCTGAACTGAAAGACGACAAGATGAAATGCGGAACGTAATATTACCATCTGCCGATTCGCTCCAATGTGGTAGGGGATTAGATATTTCATAGTCTATATTTCTATACGTTTTATTTGTAAATTTTAGTATATTTGAAGATTATTAAATTATTCTTTCTACGCTCTAAAAAAAATGTTAAACCATGTCAAATATTTCTTCCTACCAATTTGAGAATTTATTAATTATCAGTTATTTATTGATTAAAAGTTAATAATTCTGATGTCTATATGGAAATGTTTTGAAAATAATATGGTTAGTTTCTAATCTCAGATGGCTTAAATTAAGATGCCTCTTTATTAAAATAAATGGAGAACATTAATAATGCATATCATTCTGACTTTTTCTGCTTCAATTATTCCCTATTTAGTCATTTCTGACCTACTGAGGGGATTGTTCTAGAGATCAAGATTCATTCCGTGTATCTACCACAAAATAAAGTTTTGATCCACCCTGGCCAGATTTGAATCAGCTTCGCTACACTTGGGGGTGTTGAAGTTTATGCTTTAACATGCTCAGCCATTTATGAAAATGTGAGCAAAATACATTGTTCTTTAATTATTAATCCAAATTCATTTTAACAACTAACTGAAGTCGATCTGTGTGAAAAGGATTTCACAATATACAGGGGATCTACGGGGGGCTTTCGGGCTGAATCCCGTTTTCCTTCCCCCAAAATGGGAATATATATCCATGTCTTATGAAAAAAAAAAAATTAAAAAATGATCTCTATAAGTATCATTATTTGTGTAATTGCATTTAATAGCACTTCAAGAATTATTAATACACCATTTTATGTAATTACTTTCTTTTTCTTCCAAAATAATTATCGTTATATATAAATTTTTAAAACATTCGTGCTGAAGCCCCTCCCAAAATTAAATCGTGGTCTCCTTTAGTGATATGTGTATAGTAGTAGCTGTAAGTCTAGAGAGGATGAGTCATTGACTAAGAAAGGGTGGTGGCCTCTGAATGTAACATATCTTTGAATGTATAAATATTAGTGAAAGTAAGTAATTAAAGTTACTGAATTCCAAACGTATCAAAACCTCATAGAAATCCATGGTTTGTGCGAATTCTTCGCACGGATCTGCTCGTACATATTACCATATATGCTACAGATCACTTTTCCGGCTCTCAAGGACGATAGATTTTGCCCACTAGTGAACCAATCCATTAGGTCTGGAGGGATATTTTCCAATGGAGAAAACTAATTATTTATTAAGGTAACTGTTACTTCAACGTGGTTTCGCCAATTAGGTCTGATGAATGGAAATTCATAATAATATATTATTTGTAAGAATGAAAATATTTTCCTAATATTCCTTATACTTCGAATTTAATTAATCGAAGAAGGAAAAATATCTAATGCGAGTTTTCACACAGATATATTAATACTAATGCATATAATAATTCTACGTAATAATTTTTTTTCGATAAAACTTTCTTTGAAATTTGCCAGATGTTTTCAGTGGACTATTAATTTTTTAATCTTCGACAATATTAATTTGAGATATTTTGTTATCAAATTGTTGAAAAACTTTAAATGATTGAAAGTATGACCAAAGCTATCAAACCAAGACGGAATGTTATATTGGGCATTCCAGCTATCTTATGTATGTAAAAGAAATCAAAATAAAAGATATTCATACTAAATGTTTGATATCTTAAAGACTCCTAATAATTCTATAGGTTACATTCAATTAGTTCAACAAATAAAAAATTAAAATTCCTAGCTATGTGATCGATCCAATAACTAGTAGATAATTATGAATAAATAGAACTAATCATTAAGTTAATTATTTCTTGAACCTGAAGATATCCTATATTGGTCGGGTTTTTTCCTTAAAATATACAATTTTAAATATAAAATTCAATATTTTTAAAAACCCTGTTCATACGCCCTTTGCGCCTTTAATGTAAACGTGTAATACAGAACTGTTAAACCTGTAGTATCATCCTCTGTTGCAGGCAGTTTTGCAAATTTCACGGAGAAGGATAATGTATTATGTAGACTTAAAACCTATAATTTTAACTAATTTGAAGTTTGTGACAATAATGTCTACTTAAAAATTAAATAAGTTATCTCGGAAAATAATTCATCAATTATGACAAATTCAACAGAGGACACACAGCGCCCTGTCCGCCATTATGAAACTTTCCCTCAAGGCAGCGACGTAGTTCTGTTTGTAGTGTTTCTCCCTAAATGCAAGATTAACGTACATAAATCTAGCTTCCAATAGATAATTTTTTAAACAGTATTTAGATTAGAACAAGCTCCAAGTGTCGTGTATTAGTTTTATGTATAAACTTATAAGGTCTTCTAGTAATCCTGGGATACAGTTAAAAAGTTTTTCTTAATAACATAAGTTATCACTTGATTCACGAATACCATTATGAATAGAAAAAGTGTAAAAACATATGCCACAAAAAGAACTCCGTTAAAAGCTAGTACTAGAAGTACTAATATTCTTAAAGGTAAGCTTATATTTCCATTACTTATTCATGGTAGGGGTTAGTTTTAATGTTTGTAAAAACAAAAAAGGAGATTATTGATTGATGTTGTGATTAGAACCTACAGAAGTAACTCCTTCAAAAAACAGAAATAATGAAGTTGAATCAAAAACAAAATCTGTGGGTCCCAAAAGAAGATCTCTTCGCCTTAATCAAGACCAAGCTAAAGAAAATAGGGAACATAAAAAGAAAGGTAAATATGTAGAGGTTATAAAGTATTTTGATTATCATACTATTTGTTAACAGTTTTGGTTTGTATTTTCTTTAAGATCAAGAAAACATAGACATTAAAAAGAAGGGAAAGAAAGATGAAAAAGCCGTTGTGAAAGAAGTGCCAGAAAAGGATTCATTAGCCAATATTAGTTGTAACACCTGTTTGAAAACCTTCAAGTCACCAGCAGTATGTCAAATACCTATTATCTTAACAATTAAGTTTCTTATTGCTGTTATCTGGAATGGTGTTGAATGTAATAAATCTTGTTTATTATATAGGGTTTAAAAATTCATTCTAAGAAGTGTATCGACAAGGCTAATGACACTGAAATCAAAAATGAAGATTTAAAAATTAATTCAGTACCATCTGAACAGGAGGATCTTGATTCTGGAGCAAAAGATAACACAAATATTGTCCCTACACCAGATAGTAAGTAAAATTCTTCCAATATTATTGCTGTCGTTCATGATTTTATTTGTTTCATGTTGTATGATTTTTATTTGACAAGTTTAGGTTATAAATATCTAAAATGACCTAATTGTTATCAATGCTTATCACAAACAAGCTCCTTCATTTGTATTAAATCATTTTCATTATGAATTTGATGTATCAAAAATATAATGAAGTACCCTTTAGGGCTCTTAAATTTACTGTTGACCATTTGAAAGGATTGTACTTTTAGGTACAAGATTAATGATTTATTTTTTTCTAGTCAATTGTTTTTTTTTTTTATTGTATTCTTTATCTCGTAGTATTTACGTATTATAACTGGTTAATATTTCTAGCTGTTAATTTATGTATAACATCAAGCAATAATTTGTTAAAACAAATTTGAATTAATGTGACATCAAGGTCTACTGATGTATTCAAATCACTTCCTAACCTTTATGGAGTCATGGTTGGTAATTGTTAGTGTATAGCAATCATAACATTCATTTTGTGATACATTTGAACTTGCTTCTTCATGCATTGAACCACCAGATTAGTGATCCTGATGACAGATCTACTAAGTATTATTTCTAATTTCGGCATTGGGTTTGCCAAAATTATTATTATGATGAAACAGGACTGACTACTCCCCAATGTGTGCCATACAAGGTTGCCTTTATTAAAAATTATCTCTTGTGTAAAAAAAAAATGTTAAAATCTGACTGAGGGTAGTAGAAGCTCAATTTAATGTGAAACAAAAATCACCAAGGATCTCATCAAATTTAACCATCTCCATGCCATATTCCTGAACTTTTATCTAACTTTATATAAACTACTTATTGAAAAACATTATTTGAACCTGCATTTTCTAAATAGAATCCTAAATAGCTCTCTATTTAACTACTGATCAGTAAAAACTCCTCACATAAGCATAGGCGCTGACATTGGAACAACTAACTGTTTATTTTAAGTGTAAGAAGGACAATTGATTAGTAATATGATCTTCTTAAATTACATTATTGAGAAACTTCTAATTGTTGATCACTCAATAATATTATACTGCACTAGATAGTAATTAATTTATTCAAGTATATGTATATTATATGTTTATAATTGCACCTGTACTGTTAAAACTCATAGAGGGTCTGAGGTTCAGTACTTTGTTAGTAAGTACTGTTTCTTGTCAACAACTGTGTAGGTGAATTTAGTATGATAATTATAATAGTATTAAAACATAAAATCATAAAATGAGTAAAAGATAGAGAAAATATTTAAAAATAACAAACCATATAACGTTTTTGTTTTGTTTTTAAGCCCTGATATAAGAACTTTTTTATGTTATTTATCGCACCAAATTTTATTGGATCTCAGTTCTGTTTAATATAACATTAACTTGTGCCATTGAAGCAAAGGTTAATAATTTTGTATTATTATTGAATTAGACAAAATATTGGCTCTCATGTAATTTTTAAATAAATGAAATATATATTTACTTTTAGATAATGTATTTGTTCGAGCCGAGTGTCATTGCTGTGGGGAAGATGCCGAAACTGCTCATAGTGTAAGTAGTAAATATATGTCTATTGTTTACATTATCTGCTTTCAAAGATATTAAATCCTCTTCTATTTATTTAACATACTACATGAAAACAAGATCAACATTTTATCAACTTTTTAAGATCAACATTCTTGATTTGCTATATTATCGGTATTGTAGTTATGACTTTACACCATTTACCAGTTTAAAAAACATTAACTCATTGAAGATATATTTAGCCCAGTTGTACTTAACTGTACAGAAACTTGTTGCAATTTTTAACATCCATATTCAGTATCTTTTAATTTTGTATTCTTTAATTGTTCTTTGCTCGAAGATTATTAAAATTTCTTTCTGCGCTGTTAAAATACTTAAACCATATTAAATGTCCAACCTTCCACACAATTCGCTTTAAAAAATACAAATTAGTATTATCAGTTATGGACTATATAAAATCAACATTCTTGAATTACTGTATGATGGTGATTTACACCATTTAGCAGGTTATGAAACATAAATCATCAAAGGTATATCGTGAAAAGTTTTATTTAACATCACGGAAATATTTTGCTACCTTTCACATGCAAATCTATACGTTTTATTTGTAAATTTTACTGTATTTGAAGATTATTAAATTATTCTTTCTGCATTTTAAAAAATTCTTAAACGATGTCAAATGTTTCTTCCTACCAATTTGAGGATTTATTACTTATCAGTTATTTATTGATTAAAAGTTAATAATTCTGATGTCTATATGGAAATGTTTTGAAAATAATATGGTTAGTTTCTAATCTCAGATGGCTTAAATTAAGATCCCTCTTTATTAAAATAAATGGAGAACATTAATAATGCATATCATTCTGACTTTTTCTGCTTCAATTATTCCCTATTTAGTCATTTCTGACCTACTGAGGGGATTGTTCTATAGATCAAGATTCATTCCGTGTATCTACCACGAAATAAATTTTGATCCACCCTGGCCAGGTTTGAACGAGCTTCGCTACATTCCGGAATGTTAAAGTTTACGCTTTAACATGCTCAACCATTTAACCAAATAAAATTTAAGCTACAACCTCTACAATATAATTCTGACTTGTAACTCAAAACAAAGGGGAAAATCAATTTATGCCATTCTTAGCCTAAAATCAATCTCAAAATAAATTAAAATTATTTATTTTTCCCAAACACTTCAGATATAATCATAGATTGTTACTGATGTATGTTCTTGTATTATTGAAGCTGTTAAGTATAGTTAATATTTTTTTTTTATAAGTAATTTTAGGAAATCTGTTTGCATTTTGTACCTAAATATGTTTTCGAAAATATTAGTTAATTATCGAACTAATGTAAATGGTTCAAAAATTGTCTAATGGAAAAGCTTACCATTCCATTTGTTTTAGTCCTATTAATTTATACTGAGTATTTGAATTAAGCAGCATTTGATGGACATAAAATTCACTCATTTATTATTATAGTTATATAGAAGCACACCAATGAATAAAAATAATATTTTCTGTTTTTTATTAATTTATTCTAAAAAGAAATGTTCTATACATGGTAGCTAATATTGTACAATTTTTAGGTTGGTGATTTTGAATGTCACAATTGCAAGAAACTTTTCCGCCTCAAGGCATCTCTTGAGAGGCACATACGTGTTATCCATGGAGGTGAAAGTCATGAATGTCCTCAATGTGGTGCCAAGTGTCCTGACAAGGGTACATTGGCCAGGCACATGTATACTCACACAGGTATTTCATTATTTATAACTTTTAACTTGTGTAAACATGATTGTGTTTTAATCATATTAAAAATAAATCATTGCAAATGTTTAAACGATCTGCATTTTTTTATTTTAAAGTAGCTGAATATGGTATTAAAATGATTATCTAAACAATTTTATATAGTAATATATTGTAGCTTTATGATTTCATAGTGTTTTTTAGATGACATTCCAATTGTATGTACACCACTTTATTGCAATAATTGAATCAGTTATTTATTAAAACGAATAATATGTCATTATTACTGGTTTTGAGTCAATAACGAAGATGGTAGATTGTTCATAGATACATCTTTAAGTAAAATTTGGTGAAATAAAGCTCCAGAACAACTGTTCGAGAACTTACAGGGAAACTTAGCAAATCAACCATCGATGACTACCTCAAGGCGATTGGAAGGGTAAAAAAGCTTAAAGTTGGGTTCCACACACATTAAACGACTGCCAAAAAAATCAGCGTTATAAGTTTGTGCTACACTTCTTTTCCAAAACCAAAACGACCCTTTTCTGTACAGAATAGTTACTTGTGATGAAAAGTGGATACTTTACGATAACAGTAGACGTTCTGAACAGTGGCTCGACTAAGGAGAACCAACAGAAAATTTTCCAAAGCCCTCAACTCATCAAAAATAGGTGATGGTTACTGTTTGGTGGGCTTCATTTGGTTTGATATACTAAAGCTTCTTAAATCCTGCAAAAACCATCAATGCCAAATCGTATTGTTACCAAATTAATGCAATGCATCAGAAATTGGCAATAATGAAGCCATCTTTGGCCAATCGGAAGGGGTCTGTTTTGTTGCATGACAACGCCCAGCCACATGTCTCACGTGTGACATCACAAATCCTGTTGGAGGTTGGATATGAAACTCTGCCACATCCACCCTACTCTCTGGACCTCTTACCTGCGAATTATCATTTTTGTATGAACCTAGACCACTACTTACGTGACAAAAAATTTGTTTTTGGAGTTTATTAATTCTAAAGGTGAGAAATTTGATTCCAAAGGAATGGAAAAGTTGCCAACACGTTGGCAGAAATGTATTGATATTAGTGGAAACAATTTTGATTAAATAAAACTATTTCAAATCTTTCTTTTTCTTTTTAAACCAAAACCCTGCATTATTTTCCAGAGAATTTGATTCCTTTAATTTATATAGTGTAGATATTACCTCTTTTAGTGACCAAAAATTTGCTGATTAGTATCAGGGCTACAGAATAAAACTAAAACTGTGTTCTGATTTCTAGTGGTGGAGCAATACAATTTTTAATTCTTTTCAAGATCACGGTCTATATCATTGATTACAAATCTTTTTACATTCAAATTTTCAAGTGATCTACAGCAGAACTGGAGTCAGAATGATATTTCTGAATATGGTAGAGTGTCACGTTTGTGAAGTGTGTGTGTATGAGAAAGCACGCATGTGCCTGCCTGTTTGTGTATGTTAATCACTCATTATCTGAAGAAAAAATCAAAAAGGAGACCAATATATGGTTTACTGCAATAACAACACAAGTTAAAATTTTATCAGAACATCTAATAATATCTATATACTCAGTAGATATTGTTTGTAACAATGTATCAGCTATATTGACAACAATGTCTAGTTCAGTGATTTGCGAATATATTGTAATGTTGTTCTTAAGGGATATAATGACTCTATTTCTTATGATTTTCTTAACGAAAGCATCAGATTGATCAGCAACAGTCTCCTTTTTATTGTAGAACTCCTAAATATTTTGTGCAACCGCCACTTTTTGATCAATTATTTCATTCTCACTCTGTCTACTCATTATATCTCTTGAAAGTTTGAAGTTCATCAAATTACTTACTACTTATTTACCACCGAATACGAATTATATGTTACAAACAATGAACCATGGTGTTATTCAAAATCTGAAAATAATTCATGAAAATAGGTGAATATGAAAATTTTCCAGAACATTAAACAAGAGTAGAAAACCAAAATACAAAGTGGAAGTTTTAGATGCGATTATAACGATAAAAAAATCTGTTAGTGATGTATCAGTCACTATAAAAGCAAATAGTTTCAATTCAATTGTATAACTAAAAATATCAACTAAATATCTGAAAAAAGTATGACCATGAAATACATAGGTATAATATATCAACGAGTTATAACTGTACATCCAGTTTATTTAATTTGAAAGGAGATAAAAAACTAGAAAATTTGAAGGGAAGGTTATAGGCTAATGAGTTATCTCCATGGGAGCCAAAAAAAAAAAAAAAATTAGAGGAACGAATTACAAATTGAAAATTTTAAAAGAATATTCACAGGCATCCAATTTCCTGATTTTAGTTATTAAAAAACTTCTGAGTTTTTCATCTTTGCGAGGTTTTCTCATTCCACTTTCAACATGAAGTAAGGATTAAATAAAATATTTTCATTTCTTCTCAACTAAAGCACTGCTTAAATTTGGACTTCTTTTGAAATGAAAATCTTTTCTTGGTCAAGATACAATTACTATAATGACAGAACTATCTTGGTCCCTTTAAGGTCATTATAAACTATATCCAGAATATATTGCTTAAAACCTAGCATAAATAATTTACAGATAGGTGTTTAACAATTTTTTTTTTCAGATTTTTATCATTTAAAATTTTACTACTAGGTAAATAGTTTTTACTTTTTTCTCAAGATCATGAAAATGTCATTTCAGAAATAACTGACTAATTGATGACATATTCATTAAATAGTATGTAATGCTTCTTTTCCTTTATTTTTTAAACTAAAATTTCTTGATTTACTCTTCAATATCATCTAATTAGTTTTTTTTTCTCTGTCTCTTTTGTGTTGTTGTAACAGAGCTGTATTGTTGTAACTTTGTTTTACAGGATTCAAGCCTTACTCCTGCCCCGTTTGTAAACAAGAATTTTCTAGAAAGTATCATTTGGTAAGGCATAACATGCAAACTGGATGTGATGGAAAGGAAAAGCCGGTGTTCCCTTGTCAGGTATTTTAATTTTCCTCTTTATGCTGTTTTTTTTTTTTTTTCATCTTTACTAGAAGTAGGGAATAGGTTAACAAATTTATGGCCGTTCAGTCATTTTGTCCAGTTATAAAAAAACAAAAGCATAAAGCCCCAAGGCTGCATTTTATATTCAATCGTTTAGAGGGATATCACTTATTTTTGCAATATTTTGTTTATTAATGGAGATCAGCAAACGTAGAAGGATTTTAATTTGTTTTTCATTTCTGACTCATCACTTATAAGTGGGAGGGAGCACCCAATGATAGTTTTAATAACTGAAGAATATATAATAGATGCAAAAAATATGCAGCAAAAAATAGATGCAAAAACATGATAAGATGTCAACGATTCATATGTTTATGATTTTCTATGATCCCGAATCCATAGTACATTTTGTGTGTCATCATCAGTTCTATCTTAACTTCAATATCTTAATTTAGTTTTCTTTAACTGTGAAATAACTAATTTTGCAATTAGGGACTTCTTGTTAGAGATTTTAACCGTACAGTAACTTATACATTTATAATATTTAGCCCCTTCAGTGAGGTAATATTTGGGATTTCGGCAATTTTTATAACTGTATTTGTTGGTTTATTATTTTTAATCCAGAATGTTTATCGGTCATGAAAGAAATATACTATCTTCCCATAAAATTTGAGTCCTTACATTTTAAGATACATTGTATAATAAGAAATTAATACAAAAATATTCCTCCATCCCCTGTCCACCGCTTTTCTTCTTCGAGACTACCATGCCAGATTTTTTCCAATTTAGCACCTGAAATCAGAGCTCACCCCAGAAAGATCGACGGTACTTGACATTCCATTTATCCTAAGTTTCACAATTAGAAGTTTTATATGCTGCCACCCATGGCTTCTATTATAGAATTGAGCCAATTTGGCACCTAATTCACAATAGTACAAGAGCACTATTGATAGTCATTATCAATATTACTGCTTCCAGTAGATATTGTCAATAAAGCTATCAAACTTTTCTTAATCCTTTCATATCACTAGATCATCTGAAATTGACATTTCAAACTTATCCACGATTTGTTTCAATATGGTAGCCATTAAAAGTTTCTCACACCTATATCTTAAAATAATTGTACAACCCTTTTAAATTTGCTGAACTTCTAATTTGAACTTCATTATATGTATGTAATTAAAATTTTATTTGACTCTGCTATGTCGCTATTTGGTATTTTTTTTTTTTTACTAGTCTGTTACACCAATGGCAACCTTACTTGGCAGATTTTCTTTATTTAAATAAGTTTACTTCTTCTTTATAAAAAAGTTATCTTTAAATTTTTTTTTTTTGTTCAGGTTTGTGGTCGAGAATTCAATCGTAAAGATAATTTACGTGAACATCTTAGGGCTCATGCAGGACAAACCAAAAGAAAAAAGATATTTTCATGTGATTCATGTGCAATGGAGTTCTGTGGCACTAACCTGCTCCAGATGCATAAGAAAATTCATTCTGGTTAGTATAATTGAAGAGAATTACATTGACCCTTATGGTTTTTCGTATTTAAAAATAATTATTGTTATTTTTACTACAGTTCTTATTAGTTTTTTTTTTGTTTTTTTTTAATTCTTACTTTACTATCAAAACAAATAAAATAGATAATGCTAAGTTGACTTATGTACCAAAACCACCAGGAGACACAGTCTAGTATATTAAGGCAAAAGAGATATTAATGATATATATTCCTCTAGGTCCATTACTATTCCACTATACACTAATTATAGAGAGGTTTTGGAACAAAAACTAAGAAAACAGACAGATCACCTTACCCAGGATTTATTGGGGTTTAAAAAGTGACTCCATGAACACACATCAATGCAAGGACCATTTGATACTTCATTAAATGATGGAAGAAATAAGAAAAATTACTGTATCATTATTTCTGTGCTTCTGACAATATTGGCCATAAAATAATAATATAAGGTTAATAATAACGAGAGGTGTTTTGCTAGACCTTAAAAACGTAATAAGCTCTTTTAATATTGGTTTCTATTCAACTAGTAAACCTAATGCTGCTTGGAGTATCTAAAAGTGGTTCCTTGCCACCTTTACTCTTCAACCTGGCCATTGATCATCTATACTATGACCTATGTGATCAAGAATTTTCATGGAATTTGGTTATCAACTAAACAATCACCGAGAAAAGTTGGTCCCACACCTGTTCAGATATGAGCAATTTCATTACTTGACCTAGATGCTACAGAGAGATTGAGAGATTAGTAGCATCCAGAAGGCCATTTATGGAGATTGATTTAGCTACAATTCCTCAAGAAAAGTGTTCAGCATCCTTATGAATATAAGTGAGCTAGAAAGAATGATGTTTTCTCTTGAGAATAGAAATTGCACCATAATACATAGAGATAAATTATTTAGGATAGACTTTCAGAGATGAATTTAAGGTTTAATTAAAATTCATTCATTCATGCATGTGTGGCACAACATCCCGTCACCGAGACTGGGCCTCCTCCAAGAGCCTCCGCCAGTTGGCTCTGTCTTCTGCTGCAGCTCTCCAGTTCCGCACACCAAGCAGGGTTCTCGCATCATAGGCCACGTTGTCCAACCATCTCGTCCTCGGCCTTCCTACCCGTCTTACGAGGTGCAGCTCCTCCATCATTATTTTTTTTGGTATTTCAAGGGTGCTCATTCTGGCCACATGCCCTGCCCACCTTAGTCTGGCCAGTTTAATATACGTGACTACGTCGATGTCTGCATAGAGAGAACTGAGCTCCCTATTTTTTCTTTTCCTCCAGACATCACCCTCCTTTACTGGACCATAAATCCTTCTGAGGACTCCTCGCTCAAAGACACTCAGCTTCATCTCATCCCTTTTGGTCATCGTCCAAGCCTCTGAGCCATATGTCAAAACAGGCCGAACAAGGGTCTTGTATATGATCAACTTGGTCTTCTTTGAGAGGTACCTACTTCTTAAGTGTCGGCCAAGTCCAAAGACACATCTATTGGCAGCCGTGATCCTTCTTTGTATTTCTTGAGCCATGTCATTCTTGCTATTGATTTCAGACCCAAGGTATATAAAACTTTTCACTCTCTCAAACTTAAAAGAACCTACCTCAAATGGAGAGTTCAGATCAACCTCACCGCCAACTCTCATATACTTAGTTTTCCTCTCGTTGACTTCTAGACCAAGTGGTCTTGCAGCTGCTTCAAGGCTTATAAACGCTTCTCTGAGAGCCCGTTCAGACCTACCTACTATGTCAATATCATCAGCAAAACCAAGAAGCTGTGTCAGGCGATTGAAGATTATATCTTTGGTCTGAATACCGGAGTCTCTTACAGCTTTCTCCTCTGCCAAATTGAACAATAGACAGGCGAGGGCATCCCCTTGCCTAACCCCACTGCTCACTTTAAACTCTTCGGAGTCGTCAGAACCGACGCGTATTCTGCATCTCGAGCTGTCCATGGTCATCTTGATTAGGCGTACGAGCTTCTGAGGGATGCTTAGCTCCTCCAAGGCACAGTATAGTTGCGTTCTATCAACGCTGTCGTATGCTGCTTTAAAGTCCAGGAATAAATGGTGGGTGACTACCTTACGCTCCATAGTCTTTTCTAGGATCATCCTCAGAGAGAACAGTTGATCAGTCGTTGAGCGTCCTCTTCGAAATCCAGCCTGATATTTCCCCAGTTCCTTTTCAGAATACGGGAGGATCCTCTCAAAAAGAATGTTAGAGAGCAGCTTATAAGCACACGAAAGGAGTGAGATTCCTCGATAGTTAGCGCATTCTGTTTGATCTCCTTTCTTATGTATTGGGCAGATAATGGCTGTTGCCCATTCCGTAGGCATAGCTTCCTTCTCCCAGATGGTCAGCATTAAATCATGCAGAGCTTTCTTGAGTTCTTCACCTCCACATTTCAACAGCTCTGACTGGATTCCGTCCGGGCCTGGCGCCTTTCCATTTTTCAATTTCCTCAGGGCGTTTTCCATTTCCTCCTCATCCGGGGGTTCAATAGAATTCAGGGAGTCTTCCTTCATTACACCTACTTCTCCAGGCACCGTTCCTCTGTTTAATGCGCCTTTGAAATGTTGTACCCATCTCCTTAGTACGTCATCTTTGTGGCTTAAAAGAGTTCCATTTGTGTCTTTGCATGCCGTCACTCTGGGCCTAAAAGCTGCCCTACCCTCGTTTATTCTCTGAAAGAACAGGCGACTTTCATTTTGGCCTCGCAATGCCTCTGTGTCCTCCATGTTCTTATTTTCCCAAGCTCTTCTCTTTCCGCGGAATAATCTCTTCTCTTCGCGTCTTTTTCTTCTATATGTTTCTTGGGAGAGCCTTGTGGGACGCTGAACCTTCTTTCTGTAGGCTTCATTTTTCACTTTTACTGCTTGAAGGCACTCAGCATCAAACCATGGGGGCCTTCTAGATTTAGTCTCGTAGCCAAGAGCTTCTTCTGCTGCCTGTTTCATTGCGTTGCTGCATCTCTTCCACTGTTCATCGACCATAGAGCTGTCATTAATTACTTCTTCATTAAGTTTCGTCTCCACAGCTTGTTGATACGAATATTGGTGGTCTGAGTCCTTAAGTTTAACCACATCAATCTTCTTCTTTGGTCGTTGGTAGTGGTTTTTAATCAGCGAAATTCGTGATCTGACCTCGGCAATGCTCAAATAGTGATCCGTGTCCATATTTGCACCTCTATAAGATCTTGCATTTATCATGTTGGACTTGTGACGGGCACTAATGAGTACATGGTCTATCTGTGATGCTGTTTGCCCATTTGGAGAGATCCATGTTGCTTTGTGGATATTCTTTCGAGGAAAAAGAGTTGTTCCAACAACCAGTCCGTGCAATGTAGCAAAGTTCACCATCCGTAGCCCATTATCATTACTGGTCTCATGCAAGCTGTGGGTTCCTATGGTCGGCATGAGTGCCACCTCCTTACCAACTTGTGCGTTAAAGTCACCAAGAATGATTTTAACATCATTTTTGGGGCAGCTTTCTGTCACGCGTCCAAGTTCTTCATAAAATGCTTCCTTATCCTCCTCAGGTGACACCTCTGTTGGGGCATGGCAGTTGATTAGAGAGAAATTAAAAAATTTTCCTCTAAGCCGAATGTAGCATAACCTTTGGTTAATGGGAGTAAATCGCATCACCAACTGTCGAGCTCTGCCTCTCACAACAAATCCGGTGCCGAAGATGTGATGCTTTTCATGGCAGCTATAGTAGAGTGTATGGTACTTCTTCTCCATAATTCCCTGTCCTATCCATCGGACCTCTTGGATAGCTGCTATGTCGATTCTGTATGTGTCCACTTCTGCAAGGAGCGCACGAAGTGCTCCTAGTCTATGTAATGATAAAATGTTCCAAAATCCAATTCTTAGGTCATTTAGGCGTTTCCTGGGTCTGTTACCGTAATTCAGTCCGGCTTCTTCTCTTTGAGGTTTCGTAATAAGGTACTTTAGGGGGGGTGGGTTATCAGCCCACTGCCCCCGAGTCAGGTAGAGGGGCTGCCTCCTCCGAGCATCCTGACTAGCTCCCCCATCCGGGGCGGCTACCTAGGGAAGGTGACCCTAGGGTGTGTACTGTAGGTGACCTTTGTCTGTAGTGTTTAGGTGTTGTAGTGTGCTGTCTAAAGTGTACTTGGTGTGTGAGTGTTCGTGTAAGTGTTCCCCCAACCTGGAGGGCCAGTGGCTGGTTGCGGTACAATGACCGGGCGATGGGACCGCCACCTCCCTACGCCATGTAAATTAATTAATTTAATTTAATCTTTTTTGTTCATTTAAAGAAGCTCATAACCTCCTACTCGCTTAAGTCCAAGCAGAAGCTGGACATAGTCAATCAATTTCTGTTCCTTGATTAAACCTTCAGAGAATCAAAGTCATTTCAAAATGAGCCTACTTTTTTACAAATAGTTACTATAAGAGTGGTATTAATGATAAAGATGACAGATTAAAATTTTTTTATTAAGTGATCAATACTAGAAAAGTGCCCGATATGTATTCATTCTTATTGGAAATATTGTTCTAAAGGTACAACCAAACCTATTTTAAACAAAGTAGGAACATCAAAGTTCATTTTGTGGGTACACCAAAAAATAAATATCAAATTTTAAACATTGAAGTACTATTGGAATCTAATCCTTTTTTTTTTATTATTTGGTTACCTCCTATTTGTACTGCATTCATTATATATTAAAACTGAATCCTGTAGATTTATGTAGACATTTGCACTATTTACATTTTTAAGTATACTATTGTCCTAAAGTATCTTGGGAAAAATTTAATAAATAATCAATGTTTACATCTTATACAGTTCAAAACTAAATCCTGACTGTAAACATTATTCATTTTAATCTGTTTTACAAAGATTGTTTTTTTAATTTACAGGAGAGAAACAATATTGTTGTGACTTCTGTCCTAAGAGGTTTTCATCTAGTGGTGCTATGAAAAAACATAGGAGAACTCATACTGGAGAAAGACCTTTTGAATGTTCAACGGTGGGTATTCAAAAATTAGTTTTTCCTTTATATTTTCTCAAAATTGAAAATGATATTCACTTTATTTTAGATTTAAAAATTGTTTACTTATGAATAAGATCCTCAATGATATTTGCCATAACTTCAATGATTTCTAAAATTTAATTAACTTGTGTCCTCTGTCGCGCATGACATTATTTTTGTCTGTATTATTTATCACCATTAAAGATAGTTTAAAGCATTGTATTAGTTGTTTTGTTTTCATTTTTCATAAGACAAATAGTAAACCTAATTAATTAATTATTTTGTTTACCATTAGCTTTGTTTATATCTTTAAATATTAAAAAGCATACAAGGAATTGATTTAATGTATTAATTTGGTTCTTTTTCCTGTCTTACAGGGAATACATATAAGGTAAGAGAAACAGCACGATTGTATATATATAGGTTAGATTCACTTAATTTCTAAATGATTTTTTTTTTTCTATGAGAGCTAATAGTTTACTTATAGAAGCTCTGTTATACTGTTGGATACTACTCGTATTGTCACTTTAAATAACAAGATCTTAAATGTTTTATTTAGAAATCTTAGTAAGATAATTATTCTCGATAGCATTGTAATCTTTATTTATGATTTATTTTTATTATGGGCTGATTGAATGTTTTTACTATATGTTGCTTTCTTATCTGTATCTGATTATTTTTTTTTAATGTTCATGTTTCTGCACTAATAAACCATTTGTAACAACATTTTGTATTAATTAATTACATGTATTTCTTTCCAAACAGTGCGGTAAGAGATTTGGTGCTAAAGAGACTCTAAACCGTCATGTCAGAATTCATACTGGATTCAAACCTCACGAGTGTCAATATTGTGGTAAACGGTTTATACAATCTTCTCAATTAAGATCTCATCTATTTTACCATACTGGTCAATCAGGTAATTTATTATGTGTATTCAAGAAATGTTACCATGTTATTGATAATTGTTACGTGATATCTAATATTTATAAATTTTGTTGCATTAGTTCTTCTACCACCAGAGATTTTCGTTTGCGAACTTTGTGGAAAATCATTTAACAGAAGGGCACGATTGAATGAACACACTAAGTTTATTCACCTTGGTGCTAAACCATTTGAATGTGACCAGTGTCCTAAAACATTTATTAGAAAGGAAGATCTCAATCGTCATCTGATCATTCATTCTGGGGTGAAAGGTTGGTTATTTTCTGATCTTTTATCTATAAATCTATAATTGTTATTTAAATTTATTTAAGTTTACTATGCTTTTGATTACTTTACTTTGTTATTTAAAATATTGAATGATTATCATCTTACATGGAGTGCTTTCGTGACCACTTTTATTTTAATTTATTCATGGGATGCAGTCACATCTACTCTGAATAAGGATGATTCTACGAGCACCGTAAATGTATCAAAATAATATCACCAAATATTTACTAATTTTTGATGATATGAAATATATAAATGGATTAATTAAATATTATATTGTTTAATCAATAAAAAATCAAGGAAAATCTTAGGCTTACTAATGAACTGTTTAAATAAATAAAAGTCAGCCAAGTTTCCTTATCATCAAGTCCACACGTTCCTTATTATTTCTTTTAAGTAAATAAGGAAAAACAAATTTATTTTGACTTTTTACGTTCACTGCCTGCCATATTTCATAGCCAGTACATTTTTTATTATTATTGATTTAAATTGTTGAATGGATTTTGATAAAATCAATACTAGATCATTTGTATACTATTCCTAAGGTTTCCTGACATCCCGCTTTTGGCGGTACAGTCACGATTTTCGGAAAGAATGCATGAATGGAAGCCAAGGAATGGGAAGAGAATAGACAATTTTTGGCAACTAGTGTACCTATGTCGCCTGGATATGAGTTTTATGTTATTTTTGTACAATGTTAAACTTTAAACGAATTATTGTTAAAAACTGAATATCAAGAACATTGTCGATCAGTTGTTAGAACTCAACTACCATTGTTTGGACTTAATGAGAATAAGCAACACGAAAATGATTTTTGAAATGAGGTTTGGTTATTAAAAAAATATTGATAGCCACACTGCTTAAGCCTGTTAGAACAAAAACTCAAAATTTTCAGGAGACCAAAAAGCTACATAATTTTTGTATTATATTTGTGTATATGTAAGTGGAACTGCATTAAACTATATAAAATTGCTACAGCATCATTTTACTAACAATCGCTAACTTTCTTATAACTTAATAATATAGCCTTTTATATTAATATATATTATTCATTATATTATTAGCCTTCTATATTCTCCTATAAATTAGTAATATAGTCCTGTCTACAAAAATACATTTGTACATAAACAAAAGTAGTGAATAGAATCCAATGAAATTATACGGAATTAGGAAACCAATCCTTCCGATTCCTGAAAATTTTATCAGACCAACGGTAATAAGTACCAAATTTATTTTGCTACCAAAACCAAATTTGTTCCTTGATGTCTGAAACATACTAAGGCAACTGGAAATTCTAGATTTTGCAGGCAGGCTTTTCTTTTTTTTTTTTTTTTTCTTTTTTTTTTTTTGTCCTGCATGGAAACAAACCTCCTCTGCCTTTGGTAGTTTGAATGCAAAATATTCCTTAATCTTAAAAGACTTTTTGAAAAGCTCATCACTGCAGTAATTTCTCCTTTATTTTCTCTCTGCGAGTATATCCTCCTCTGACTTGAGTGCAACATCAAAGTTTGAATAAAAATTCAAATCAGTAGAGATGTGTTATCTAATGGAAAAGCATAACGAACGTGAAACTTGCTTGCAGGTACCTTGTACTAGAGGAGCAATTAATGACAGTAGTAACTGATTATCCTTTAAGTATCTGTAGGTTTGGTTTACTATAAATTTATAATCTATGTTAGTTGTACCATATTCACTGTCTTTATGTTATGTACCACAGTCTTCAAAACTTATTAATAATACAGAAATATGATTTATATCATGACTAACGTCTCAAATATTCTATTTCTGAATGGATCTCAAGAGAATCATTAAGAAAAAAATGTGAAAATTATTCTAAAAGGTTGCTTGTTGTGGTTTAGTATAAGCTTGAAAATTACTTTAGAATGAAGTGTCATCTTTTATTACCATGTTGATAATTGTGCCATTGTGTTTGTTTCAGCCCACAAATGCCCAATCTGCACCAAGTCATTTGCAATGAAATCTTCTCTTAAAGTTCACCTTCTTACTCATACTAAGGTAATATAGGATAATCCAGTAATTGCAATAATAATTAATTTAAAATATAAGCCATCCGCACTCATTGCTAATTTCTATTGTTGCGGGTTTATTTAAACAAACATTTTGAATGTGGATAAGTGTGAATTTCCTCATCTCATGGCTCCAAAGTGAGTGAAAACCAGTTTGCAGTTTTTCAAAGTTCAAATGAATAACCTCATATCAAAGATGGACATCTGTAATTTTTAAAATCTTAAGAAAAGCCAATTTTTGTAACACAGCTTTAATTTAAAATAATTGTAATGATGTTTTTTCTTAATTAAACTTGAACATTTGAAAATCATCAAAAACTATTTGAATTGGATTTATAAAAAAAAAAAAAAAAATCTCCACTTTCTGGAAATGATATATGTCTTTGATATCAGGCCACTCAAGTAATGTCTACTTTCTTTAATAATGTAACTGTTTCTATGGTCAAACTATTTAGAGCTTTTAAATTCATTATTTTGTTCAATAATGATCAAAGGACCCTTGATAATTCAAGAGCTGAGTGGAAGAATATATTATACTACTAACATTTGAATTCGAGATAAACTTATTCAATGATTTTTTTTTTTTTTATTCCTAATTTAGACTGGACTTGTTGGCCCATGCGAATAATTTGCATAGAATGTTGGTCAGTTAACAATTTACAATATAATATAATACATATCGTATTTTATACTATGGGATAGAGAAGAAATAATTTCTATTTTCTTAGTCAAATCACATTAGTTCATTCAAAATATTTAATAAAGCAATACATGTGTACATTACTTTAGGCTGTATCTTTAAAAATAATGGTGTGATTTATTTGTTGATATAATTTTTTTTTGTAGAAAATTTAGTAATCTTTCAAAAAATTATGGGTACTATGAACAAAAAAGTATACTTTTTAGGTTATTCGCAAATAAAGTTTCTTTTCATTCATAACTTTTTTTCCTGAAATTTTTGGAGATGTTACTATGATTCGTCACTGCTTAATATCATATTGTTTGATTCTTCGTTCATCAAACTCCATTACTCCTGAGAGCCAGAAAAGGAATCTTCAATGTGAAAAACTGTTGTTTTATATATAAAGATAGATATATAGAACTGTGGTTACCATAGTAACCAATTCACTCTTTATTAAAATGTTTTTCCCTGCCATTCACTAAAAAATCCATAGCTCCTCAGGATTTCTTTAAATTAAATGTTACTATAACCACTAAAAAAGCTGAATTATTGCTCTTCGAAACCACATGTAAATAACTTTTTGATTTAACACCTCCATAACGAATAAATTAATAAAAACTGCTGGAAGGTTTTTATACTTTAACCAGATCCCTGTTAACATATTAGAGCTAGAGATATAAAATAAAAACTGCTGGAAGGTTTTTATGTTATATTTCCAGCTCTAATATGTTAACAGGGATCTGGTTTGTGTAGTTTTTGGTTCCTATGTTCCTACGAATTTTTGTGTGAATAGGTGTAAACATGTTGAAGTTATCACACTTTGTGTGATTTTTTTAAATCCAAGATGGGAGTGGATGTAAAAATTTAGTCATTTTTATTTTTGTATTGCAATGAAAATCTGTATTTTATGATTTTTCAAGGTATAAAATAAAAATCTCAATTCTTTTTTCCACCGCAAAAAATATATTTGAGTCCACTATTCTCTTAAGAGCCGGAAAAGTATCTACACATAAAAAAACTATTGTTTTATATATAAAGATAGATCTTTCAATTTTCAACTTTTGAAAATTTCCACAATATATGGTTCACAAAGATTAGATTAGGTGCCATGTAAAAAGGAGTAGGTTGATAACTATTAAAGGAACATAGTGATACATCTCTTTTTAAAATATAGCCTGGAATATTAGTATTGTATATTAAACATGTGATCAAAATTATTCAATTCAGTTCAACAAATTGATATAAAAGCATAAAAGAGACAGGAGTTTTGTCTCATTGAACATCCACATTCTAGCTATGTAGCAGAATGTGTAAACCTATTAAAGCAGTATTAATTTGTTTGTTCATCAGTTTCTCATGAATACATATGTCGTAAAAAATAACATTGATCTTCATAGCTTTGTTCAATGAATATCTTTCTTCTTTTAGGAACCTCCACGATCATGTGATGAATGTGGTCGTGCATTTATCAGACAAGATTGTCTCCTTCGCCATATGAGAAACAAACACCGAGACATGCTGGAAGAAATCAGAACAGAAGCCGAAAAGAAAAAATTGCAGCAACAACTGTTGCAGGTATGTTTGTTTACTTAAGTAATTTGTCTGATTTTTAAACTTTTCTATAAATTAATGTCAAACAAACGATTTAGGAAAAAATTTTATTGATTTTAATTTATATATTTGGGTTGAGGGTTTACTGGTTCAATCACATTATAAGTTTTATAATTTAAAAAAAAGTTAAACATTAATAAAATTAAAACAATGTTGATATATCTTCTCTCTTATAAAATATAGGTAATTTAAAAACCTAAAATAAAATGTGAAATTTGAAGGTTTCTAATTCCTAATAATTAGTGAAACATTCCAATGATATGAAATATTCCACGACAAAGTTCATTTGCATATTAGAATCACATTTTTTATTCAGCGATCTATAGTTATTTGGTTAAAGTAATAATGTTTGGTCTGATTTGTCTGAATCTTGTCATTTTAATTCATGTTTTTAAAATTTCTCAATTGCTGTATTAAATTCATGATTTGGATTACATTATATTCAGAATTCAATTAGATTATATTTTGCTGCAATCTGGTTTCGTTGTTTTCTATAAATTGCTTCTGTATTACATTTGGCTCTTCTCCCGATCACTTATTCATCGAAACCTAAAGACGTTCATGTTCTGCTTTCAAATTACATTCCAACGGGACAAAATTGTCTGCATTCTCATTCTTTTCCAAATTGTTCATCCCTAGTGATGGGGATAGCTCACACTATAATGTCAGTTACTGCTTGACCTTTGACTGGCGTACACGCCTGTTTTTCTTGACCCTCTAGCAGGCATAACAAGTTCAGTTCATCCTAGAGCTTTGACCTGACAAGTTCAGTTGGTGCCTGGATTTTGACCAGACAAGATCAATCAGTCATTTCCTAGCCATTGCCCTGTATATTACTTGTTCACTTATTTTTATGAAGAAGATCCATTGTCAAGCATTATGTAACACAACCCATTTATTTTAGCTAACCTTTGGCCAAGAATAGAGATTTTTGGACTTTTAGCAATAAAATACATGCACAGTATTTTATTTTTCTATTCAATTTTTAATTCATCAAATAAAATCATGTATTTCATTTTAATTATAAATATATGCGGTGTTGACTTCTCAGATATTCACAGAAACCTTCAGTTTAAACAAGTATTTGCTTTGAATTAATTTCAGTATAAAATATTTTTTATAGATCTAAATTAATTTTAAAACAAATACTCTTTTATGTTTATATACTTTTATTAAAATCAAAATATTACTTATACACATATCTACATACATATGCTTGTGTCATTTGGAATTTCAGGTTGCTGCAGAGGCCAGTTTAGTAGACGGTTTAGAAGAAAAAGGAGAGCTGGATGAGCGTGGTCTCACAGAAGCTGTCTCAGAATTGCTTACCCTGCTTGTGGATGAAGCTACGTTAGTTGGTCTAGGTTGGCCTTCAGAAGGAGTCGAGTCACTTTTGGAGTCTGTGATAAAGCGATGTGGCCATGATCCAGCACCCCGCTCCACACCGTCCCATGAAAGACTGAGGCACAATGTTAAGCTACTCTTTACTGTGGTCATTGATGATTCTGCAGTTAAAGCACTCCTCAACAACCAAACAATTGATCAAGTCATACTACATGTTCTTAGACTGGCAAAATCATGAGGTTCCTTTCTTTTAAATGTATAAAGTGATTCTTCTTTTCAAGAAAATGCTTTGACTGAGAGAATAACTTTTTATTTTGTTTTAAAGTTTAAAGTGTTACTAAGTGTGATAATTAAAATAAAAAGAAATGTGTAAATATTTTCATTGAAGCAATAATCGATAAAGAGATAAAAAATATATATTTTGTTATTTCTGTTGCCCATTTTTATATTTTATATTAGCAATTCAAGCAGCTACCATTTGATTGTAAACAAATTTTATAAATCTCGTTGAGGAAGCCTAATCCTAATACACTTAATGCAGAAAATAAAAATTATATACTTGTAACTGAAGTAATTGTTTGAAATTATACTTATTCAATTCATACCATATTTAGCACCATTTTTAATATTTAACTAGTGATGATGATTTAATTGCTTTTATAAAAATATATATTACCTAATCAAATTTGAAATTATTTTATGATATATTTATATATATATATATATATATTGATTTATATGGGGATATTATTGTTAAAAAGTGTATCTTATTTTTTATGTTTTTGGATAAATATAATAAAATCATAAAGTTTAGTTGCTTGTACAATAAGGATATAATTTATTATAGTAATTAAGATTTTTTGAACATGTTTTACTCTATGTTGTTCCATCTAAAATAAGCTATGACTGAAATATAAATTTGTTTATTGAAGTGTGATCTCACTTCAAGTTCAAAACATATTATTAATTGTTTTTTTTTTAAATAAAATTCAAAGTGAGTCAATTATTAAAATATTAAGAATAAATATTATTTTATTTTAAACATAGGAATTTTTTTTTTAATTTTACAATGGTCTGCATTTACCCATGTGGGTCAAGAGCGGCTTGTAGGGATGTATTTATAATTGTAAATTTTACCTTAAGCAATAATTATGATATTATATCTCTTTAAAATAATAATAATAGTTCAAAACTAACTTCTTTTTTTTTCACCTGATTATTATAATTCATCTACCTACATTTCCATTCAGGGTTTTAGTTTCATATATGTATTAATCTATTTACAGAAGAAGCACTTTTGACCCATTATCTTCTTAATGTCTGTGGAGATTTCCTTGGAATGTTTTTTAAGC